CACACTGCTCTCAACCGACTCCATATTTCATACACCGAAAACTTTTCAAATTTATAGTCACACTCATCTCTAGTGGTCCACGTTTTCAGTGCTAAATAGAGAAATAACAGGGTTTTATATTGATATATTTATTTATTAATATTTTGAATTAGTTTTTTTTGTTGGTATGTGCTTTTGTCATTTTATTAGTTTGTTTTTAAATTATTTTCTATGATGTATAAGATAAAGTGGCTGAATCAAGCACAATTTCATAAGCTGGCTTTTATTTCCCATAAGGACACAGATCATTGGAGGTATTTGGCTTGTATATATATGATGAAATTATATAGGCTGGGGATATATATGTGCTTTTTTTCTTTTCTTTTCTTTTCTTTTTTTTTGGATGGGAAAAAAGATTCAAGATTTTTCTTAATATATCCTATAAGTTTAGAATTAATGTAAAAAAAAACAAACAAAAAAACATACAATTCCAATTCAAAATGACAGTATAACACCAGTAGATTACTATTAAATGTTTTGTAAAAAAAAAAAACACCGAAAAGAAAATAGCCTGTCACCATAATGCAAACGTGAAATATCATACAAACTTACAGTAGTAGTTCTTTACAGGTTTTTGCATTTCACTGTGCTGCTTTTCCATTGTTTTTCTATATAAACATGCATTTTACAGATGTTTGACTGTGCTCGCGTCTCTGGTCTTGCAGCATCTTACACATGAAATGCCATTCCAAAAATTCGTGCTCGAGTAAAAAGAAGTTCATAACCTTGCATTTTTTCCCCATTATGCTGCCTACCACTTTTTTTGACCCTCATGCTGTTATTGCTCTTATCTTGGCAGAAAATCTATCTATCTCTCCTTGAAGGTTGAAGTCACATGTAGTTTCAGTCAGGAAGTTGACAGTTCTGTGTTGTTGTGTGATTATGTGTTTGACACACAAAAGCCTCATTTCCACCAAGCGGTACGGTGTAGTACAGTACAGCACGGTACAATTCGGGATGGTACAACCTGATACGGCTTGTGTTTCCACCGCCAACAGTGCCCTTAGTTGATAGGCGTGGTGTATGCTGGAAAGTAGTGATTGACGTCATTCTCACGCGAAGAAGAAAGCTCGACATTGTCTGTGTGTATGTGTGTGAAAATATAAAATTCTAAAATACACTGTTATATTTTTTGTGTTTGTGCACTCTGATGTAAACAAGCCCAACACTCATGAGCAGCATGGCGGAACGAATGAAGGAGATGCTTCATTCACCTTGTAGCATGCGCAAGTGACGATTCTCTGTCAACCAATCAATGTTCTGCAGTGAGTCTAGCTACACCCTTTAGGTACCGGACTACTGTGATAGGTACCCCAACTGAAGGGTCCCAAAAAAGTGGTGCGGTACTGTTCGCTATTTTGGTACCATTCACAACTTCTGACAATGGAAACAGAAATAATTGCGTACCATACTGTACTGTACTGAATCGTACCTTGTGGAAAAGAGCCAAAAGATTCAGACATCAGATTCACTGTCTGTTTTGCCACATCATGCCTATTTACAGCACAGATTCAGAAAATGCATATTGATTATAGACAGCTTTAACCGAGTTCAGTGGCAGTCTAACCTGAGCATACTTCTAGTACCATGTGAGCAAATGTAGACTTGTTACAAGTGAATACTTGAAAACATATAAAATTGATTTTAGTTTTACTCGTTGAGACTGGCAGCATTGAAATGTTCCCTCCCTACAGCCCAGAGCTGAATACGCTGACTCTCAGAGCAATGTCTACCACCCGACACTGTTTCCCCCCTTTTTCTCTCACCACCCCCTCAGTTTACACCCATGATGCTTTGGATTTACAGAGAATCAAACTGATTGCTGATGAAGTAGCTGTTTCTAGCACAATTTTATGAGCTGCCTTTTATTTCCTTCAAGGATACAGATCATTGAGGTATTTGGATTTTTAAAAAAATTTTTATTTGCTAGTGCTTATTTTCATAATTTCCTTCTTTAATCCTTCTGAAAATCTTGGATTAAGTAAATTTGTTGGCTATCGTGTGGATATTTGATTACTTTTTCTCTGAGTTAAAGAAATAATTCACCCAAAAATGTATTTTGATTTTTTTTTTTTTTTGCCCTTGTGTTGCATATTTTGATCACTTAAGCGTAGTCCATAAGAGACACCTACTGAATCTTTCTGCGGCCAGATTGAGTTAAATTCAGATTGTAACAGTTATTATAACAGATAACAAATGCCAATGAACCAGTGGGTTTCCAAATTAGAGTGAATTTAAGTAAATTCACTCAAAAATAACGCAAAAAATGCTAAAAACGTACTCGCACTCAGTCCATCCAAGATGTCGATGAGTTTATGTCTTCATTTGAACAGATTTGGAGACATTTAACATTACATCACCTGCTCACCAATGGGTGCTAAAACATGCTACAAGCTGCTAAAAACATGAAAAAAAAAGTTCTGATGAAGACAAACTCAACTCATATACTGTACATCTTGGATGGCCTTAGGGTGAGTAAATTTTCATTTAAGGGGGAATCTTGGATTCTTGAATTTTTGTGTGTTCTTCACACAAAGCTATTATTTAATTTAATTTAATTTCTATTTAATTTTATTCATTTTTTGTTCTCTTTTGGAGGTTAACATCTCCAACACCTCATGGTCATTATGTACAATCATTGTATGGAAAATAGATGAGTAAAATGTCTTCCAATATCTATTTTTTGGTTCCACAGAAGAAGGAAAGTCATGAAACAACATGAGGTTGAGTGAATAATGACAGGATTTAAATTTTTGGTTGAACTGTTCTCTTAAAGCAAAAATAAATAAATAACAGTAAGATCCACTGAGGTAAAACAAGTGCACTCACCAGGCAGCAGCTTTTCTCAAGCTTGCAGTAAAAATGTTTATTGCTGCATTCATTATTCTAAAGATGAGATGCAAGTCTCTTTGGAAAGAAAGTGTGCTATAAGCATAAATGTAAATGAGAGTTGTAAAGAAATCCAAAGCTGAAAATTGGAATTGTTCGACTCCACCATCAGTGTAAACCCATAGGAAGGAATCACACACCGTCACGGCAACCGACACATAAAAGTGTGTAAACAGAAGCAACATGTCAGGCTATGTCATTTCAAACAATCATGTTCAAGTACATGAGTTACTTTTTATGTAAATAAGATGATGTTTTGCGGTCTTGGGGATGATGTTTTCCTAGCTTCTATAAGGTGCGTCTTTTTTCATCTCGTCTCCCCTGTGGATTCATTTTGGTATTGGTGACATCGTCAACACTAAAATTATTTCCACATCTGAATTATTTTTTTAGATAAAGTGAATAGTTCACATTGCGTAGGAGAATTACTGACAGCTGACAATACTTTAATCTATGTTAGGGATATCTTATTGTTAACTTGAAAATAAATATTCAAACTGTACTGTAATTGTGTACTGTATGATTTAGGTTTCACACAGCTTGTTTTTGCACTGTTAAGATGAGATAACTGTTTTGAAATGATTCAAGGAGGGGAAGAATGTGAAAAAGGGTTTATTAACCATGGGAAAATATTAATTCTTGCCTCTTCCTCTTGCCAAATTAATTTAGGCCACTTTTGCTAATGCCCGGGCATTCAGATGACAAACTGGCAGCATAAGCAGCAGGAAGAGGCTGCAGGAAAGAGGAAATAAAGGCAGACCCAGAGTTTGCCTTAAATTCGACCTTGATGAGATTGTTTGTGTGATTCCAGTTGAAGGATTTGCAGTTCAGATGCTAAATCTTAATCCGATCCATTTGCCAGTAATTGATGCTGAAAGTTAGTGTTTTTTTTTTATCAAATCCTCTTAATCCAATTAATTGGATTAATAAATCATAATTTCAGCTCAAATGCTTAAAATGCCAAAAATCAAAACAATAAAAGTAGTCTATATGACTTTTGTGCTGTATTTCAAGTCATATAATAGTTTTGTGTGGAAAACAAATGAATTTGCTTTTTGGTCTGTTTCTTATTCAAAGCTTTGGTTTCAAAAGATGTGGGAATTTTGCAAATGAATCACATGGACTGCTTTTTATTTTTTATTTATTCATTTTTTCCCCCATAAAAAAAGACAGCATACGGGTGTGGAATATTGAGCAAAGGCCCGTTCAATCCATGAACATTAACTATAAAGATAACTATTACCATAACTATCTCAGTGCTCACACCAACACACAATAACATTCTGTAAGTGCGTGCTGCTGTTTTGTCATCTGCCACTTTATGTGTGAGGCTGTGAGCTTTGGCTGTCAATGTTTTTATTGTTCATTAGCTGGGAAAAAATCATTGTCAAAGTGATTCCAACTGTATCGTACCTCTGTCCTGTTATCATCTTAGCTGTGGTGTGGACTCTGCTATTCTTTTGCAGTTCCATTTTTAAAACTATATCATTATAGTTATCGTCTTTGGTGTGAACAGGCCTTAAATGGTGACAAAATGTCAACTGTCAATCGAGCTACTTTAACTTTTGGTCCAACAATAGAGTCTGTGATGGTCATTCTGTCACTCTCTTACACGTTCTTATCTCTCCTTCAGGGGTGGAATCAGGTTGGAGAGGCTGTGCCATCTGTGATACTGCTGGAGTGCAGAGTTAATAAGCCCCAGTGTAGATCAAACGCACAACGCTGAAGCTTACACACGAAAGCCATGTACACACATTCTCACATGCACACAAATATTCAAATGCAATGCTAGGTTGCCTTGATGAATGCTGGCCAATTTGTGGCTATTGACTTAAGCACGAGACTCACAGCATGGCTGTCTAAGAGGATGATGGGAAATAAATGTTTGGGTATGTTTTGAATGATTTCTTATCTCATGCAATTGATGCAATATCAGATTTTAAAGGCAAGAGGCTAGAAGCAAGAGACATTTGAGAAGCAACAATACATTTTTAATAATGTAACAAAAGAGGTGCTTGAAATTGATTGAATTCAGAAAAAATAGTGGCTTCTCTGTACAGTAAGTTTGCACATTTTGGAAAATTGTCGATCTCTGTGAAATAGGGTTAGGTATCACTAACTACGTCACAATACGATACACATTGGGCCTCATTTACGAAACGAACGTACGACAGAAAATTGGGCGTATGGTCGTTTCAATGCAAAACTTCGAATTTATCAATATGGACGTGAGCGGTGGCTACAATCAAATCTCACGTCTCAGCTCGTGTACGCAAGTTTTTGAGTTACCTGAACTTGCGCGCAGCATAGTTAATATGGTGGAGAATTGTAGAATGACAGCATTTTGTTGTTGTCCTGACCGTCAAATGAAGCTCATTTGTCGTTCGTTAACCAGTAAGATTAGAATGTCTTTTTTTTGGTTATATACAGTGCTTTAGCTTTATATGTGTGAATAGCAGCGTAAACAAGACCATGGGGATTCAATCGTCGCATCATGCACCTGCAGCGCTTCTGTGAAAGGAGAAAAACAGAAATTAAGTCTATAAAAGAAATAAAATAAATAGGATCACACAAAATATATAATAGGCTATAATATAATTAACAGATTAACAAAAGGAAAAAAAAAACACTGTGTAGCAAGTATAGGCTACGCTTGTTTTTGTGACACTCTTAATGCATTTTATATCTTTTCTTTATGTCTTTATTTGATTAAATCCATCTGATCGCACAGGTGCCCACGCACACACAAACAACATTAGTTCTAGCGTTGCCTGACCTTTCAGCCATTCATCATCAAACTAAAATGCAGTCAACCAAACATAAAAGTTACACTGCTTATTTTAGGTCCGCTGTAAAATCAGGGTGCAGTGCCCAAACAAACATTTTTGCGCATGTGAAGGATGTTACACAGATATTAGAACATGAGTAAAGTGTAAAGCCATGTTTAGGCTACATAATGAATAATAGTTATGCAAACAAATGTTACAAATATGGCAAAAATTGAAACATTTGGATTCTTGTGGTATGAGACAGGCTCGTGAGCCCAGTGCCGTTTCAGTTTTGCTTGACATTTGTATGCTGTTTATAATGAATGCCACTATAGCCTAATTTGTGTTCTATTTTATAGTTTAATATATCATTTTATAACTACTTATTTTTCATTCTTGTTCTGTTCTGAATACCGTTAAATGTTAAATATTTGTTGTAGAGTGATGGGAACTAAATAGGCTGTTTATATGAACCAGTATTTTAATATACATATAAATTACATAAATTAATGTAGCCTAATTGTTTGCAATTACAAGGTTAACGGGTGTTTTTGGAGTAAGATCAATTTCTCTTTCATGAGATTACTTACTTGGCGGGGTTTCTTTTCTCCGTGTAGTAAACTCTAGGGGCGAGGCTTCTAAACCAGGGTGTTTTAGGCACGTGATATTCAAATGACGATTGTTTTCTGCCGCCACATTTATCAACATGCGATCATTCGTACGGTGAGATTGGCGGCATACGAATGTTTCATGAATCACATGTGAACTCTGTCGTAAGTTGATTTGTGCGCACGGATCTGCGCTCGTTTTTATGTTAGATTGATAAATGAGGCCCATTGTGTGATAAGCTTGAGTTTCCAGTACAGAGCCTCATAGAAGCGGTTCTGAAAAACCGGCCTTCCTTGTGATCTTCCTTGCTCTGGATGAACTGAGAAATGCTGGTTCCAGTTTGCGCTTATTTGGATGACTAGCATCTTTATAAATTGACGTAATGTAAGTGTAAAAATGCAAATAAGAATATGTAAATAAATACACATGTAAATAAAGAGATGTTGATAGAGGGCTCAACATTGACACTGGTAACACTTTAGTTTAAGGACTAATTCTCTCTATTAACCAGTTTCATAATAGCAATCATATTACTAGCATATTGGCTGTTTATTAGTACTTATAAAGCACATATTAATGCCTTATTCTGCATGACCATATTTTAGATCCCTTAATCCGACCCCAGACCTAAACTTAACAGCTACCTGACTAACTAGCAGCAAATTAGGAGTTTATTGACGCAAAAGTCATAGTTAATAGTTAGTTAATATTGAGAATTGGTCCTTAAACTTAAGTGTGACCATGACAATTTCATGCTGGGAACTTACAAACCCTTTAGATTTCAGCAATATTGTTGAATTTGAAATTCTTTGTTCAGACTAGTTGTGTTTGACTAGGTGGGTCCTGTAAACTTGAAAATATGCAGTTTCTTTTTTTTCTTTTTTTTTACAGTGTAGTATACAGTATGTTACTCCAGTGAAGGTGGAGTCACGTTATCAGAGTATTTGATATGCGTTCAAATAAAACAGCTGCTGGATTATGGACACAGATGTTATTTAGCCAAGGTCACAGCAGGTAAACTACTGTGTGTGTGTTTGGTCAACACACAGTTGATTTGTAAGTCAAATCTTTCTCATCCCACAGATGTCTGTAATGGTTGTGCCATTTATTAAACAACAGCAACTAATCTAATCTTTGATACTCCAGTGTTTTTGACTGAGATGGCAGAAAGCTATTGAATGCAGTGTCTTTTAGTATTTTAGTATTATGTCTTTTAGTCTTTTAGACTTTCAAAGCATTTCAAAGATCAAACACTATTTTAACTGACATCTTCAGTCGTTAGGCTTTCATGTCAGGGATATTATGAAAATATTTGGGGTTACTTGAGGGTTTAATTATCAGGTTCAGTTAGATCAGAGATTACTTGACTGGAGAAAGTGTCAGCAGTCCAAACTTAAGGTTGAAATTCTCAGGGCCCCAAAAGGGCCCACATTTTCACTAAATTCCTAATTAATTTCCTACTTACTAATATGTTAAGAATTATGCAATATATAATAAATGTAAAGTTAGTATATTCTTAATGAAAGTTATTTTGAGGTTTTATTCAAGAAAATGCTATTATTTATTTATTTATTTATTTATTAGGGGTCCCTGGTTTGGCTGAGAATCTTGTTTGGGGCGTTTTGGGTCTACTGAGGATCAAACATTACTTTGGTTACTTTAAGTTATTTGAAGGTCAAGGTAGTTCCTAATTTTATTGTTAAATCAAATTAATTAATCATAAGCCTAATTACGTGTCATCAATATTCTGATTCTATTGAGCGGTATTAATCATCCAAAAAGGCTTGTCTAAAAACCCTCAAAGAATATGTTCTTGTCAAATGTTAGTAGCACGAACATCAATTATGATTCATGTCAGGACCGCAAAACGGGACACTGTGAAATTACTATCTAGTTTATTTGCAAAGTTTGGCTGGTGCTCTGTTGCCCACAGAAATATACTCTTCCTTCAAAGAATGGAAAGGTTTGGTGGCATTTGCATCACATTTTGATATACATCAGTTTGATAAGCTCTTTATGAAATACAGACTATATTTCCAGTGTGAGTTATTGTCATGGGTCGGCTGGTGAATGCGCTATCGTGGTTGGCCTCTTCGGGACACTGCACAGGTAGGGCAGATTTTGAATTAGCTTGACCGTTGCACCATTAAAAATGTGCAATTCGGTGACCTTGCCGGATTTGATTTAGTGTTTGGCTAATAGTACTTGCAGTGCAATTCAGACTTGTTAAGAGCTTGGGTAATATTTCGATTAAACCCTCTGCTTTTGCTCATTTTTAATTCATAACATGCCAGTAAGAGTGCAATTAATATTCAAGGAATTCACGACATTCTCTGGAAGTGAGATCACACTTGAACAGAGCATGATGGAAGTGAGCATAGGAGTCTAAAGGCATAAGTGATGTAGTTCTTCCACTGACAAAACATGAACCCTGCGGCACAACAGCAAACTATTTGTAATGAAATCATCTTGCCCTGATGGAGATGCCAGCTTAGAACACAGTAAATCAACTGCAAGGTTGTTTGTGAGGTCAGGTCTTTTACAAAATAGTATTGTGGAAGTACTATGGTACGGTGTTGATATCAGATGCAAATCCCACGGTACTTGATTACCATATGTGACCCTGGACCACAAAACCAGTCATAAGGGTCAGTTTTTCAAAATTGAGATTTATACATAATCTGAAAGATGAATAAATAAGCTTTCAATTGATGTATGGTGTGTTATGATAGGGCAATATTTGGCCGAGATACATCTATTTGAAAATCTGGAATCTGAGGGTGCAAAAAAAATCTAAATATTGAGAAAATCGCCTTTAAAGTTGTCCAAATTAAGTTCTTAGCAATGCATATTACTAATCAAAAATTATATTTTGATATATTTACAGTAGGACATTTACTAAATATCTTCATGGAACATTATCTTTATTTAATGTCCAAATGATTTTTGGCATAAAAGAAAATTCAATAATTTTGACCCATACAATGTATTTTTGGCTATTGCTACAAATATACCCCAGCGACTTAAGACTGGTTTTGTGGTCCAGGGTCACATATTTGTAATTCATGGTAGTCCACACTGAGGTCCTTTTTCAAAGTGGTTGCACTAAAATATAATCGCAGAAGGCTGATGATAACAATTCTGCACATTGTTCATCATCAATAAACTCAATATTTGTGATATTTGAAATTATAGTTATTGCTGCAGTCTTTCTCTGCAGTCAAACAATGTATAATAGACTCACTCATCTGGATCTGTGCCTTATATAATCTAGCCCCACGTGGCTAAAAAGTACATCAAATATTTGAGTGTGAAGCCTGTGTGATTGAGTTACATCCTGGACTGCTCTCTAAACACAAGACTCTCTTCGAGTTGTAAGAGCTGTGGTGCTGTGGATAGTCCACGCGTTTGTCACATAAAGAGCGGCTGAACTCTCACGGGGACACAAGTTTGATGCC